TAATGTAATATTCCACCCTCTCCCCCAGACACCAACATCTCTTTCCTTTCTGTTCCTGCATCCCCCCCCTTTCTTATAGGGAAGCAAAAGTGACGAATTGTGTAAGAGTTATATAACTGTATGGGTGCGTTCAGACAAGGCATTTGTAACGGAATAGGTGCCGGTTGCAATCGGTGTACTTACCGGCGTTCAGACGTAGAACATCTGCCTTCCGTCCCTAACCTTTACAAAGCCCTTTAAACCGTTGTACTCTGCCACTAGGTCCCCAAGTGGTGGTATCCTGAGTACAACTGTTGTAATCGCTGTACCCCCCCGTCTGATCGCTCTCCACCGTTGCAGAGCTACTTCCGTTCAAAAGCCTGAGGCTTCCGATTTTCGCCCGCCATTTTTTTTAAAGGACGGCGATATGCGCTTGGGCGAAGCTTCGCCCTGGCGTTCGTTTAAAAAGAAAAGAAAAGCTCTGATGCTGGGTCTGACTCGCAGCCGCATCCCTCTCTCTGCGTGGCTCTTTCTTTGCAACTATGTCTTCAACCTCGACTCCTTTCGTTAACCCTTTCCCCAGACCTCGCTGCCTCACCACCGCCGCTCCAGCCGGCAAAGCGAAACTGACCCATCCGGGCAAAGCGATCCTGGCAGGTAAAATCTATGATGGATCCTTTGGTTGAAGGAGGGGGGATGTGGTTTCAGTTGGCTGCTGTGGCTCAGCGTTTTGCGTGCCTGTGATGACCCCTTAACTGGGGAGGTCTGGTTTTACTTTAAAATGTTCTTTCTGTTTTGTTTTACTCTGTATATCCGGCTGCCACCAGGAAATTTTAAGGCTTTCCAAACCTTTATAATATAATATTTTTTCTACTGGGTAGGTAGGTCGGGTCTTTAGGCTTTCAAGGGACTATGTGTTCCTCAGGATGTATTTATCTCAGAACTGGTATACTTGAATGAAATAGGATTTATTTAAATAAAGCATAAATACGAGGCTAGAACCATGTAACTAGTGAAGTAGGTATAACACACAGTTTGCTCCCTACTGACAGGGATTTTTCATAGGTAACTTTGTAACACTTTTCCTTCAAGTCCATATAATCTTTACTGTTTCCTAGACTCTCAGCTTTCAGCTTATAACTCCTATAACACAGAACTGAATGTCTCTCCTTTCACACACAAATATTTAACTTAGAACTCTTATATCATACAAGACTGCTTCACTCTTTTCATACACAGGACCAACTTATCCCACACAGGGATGTGTCTCCTTCTCTCAGTGACAGAACTTAACTGACTTAACAACTGTCTTTTTCAACTGTCCCCACTCTGTCACTCTTGACAGACATAAATATCATCCACACAGCATCACTTCCAAAACC